ACGATGGTGATGGGAATGCTGCAGGCTCCCTCAATAGATTCTCATCTCAGAGTATGTACAACTTGAGCTTCTCTTTCTTCTACCTTTAAGCTATAAAGTAATATGTATGTGTGTGTGTGTATGTATGTATGTATGTATTTTTTATTATCTTCTTCCAGGTGGTTCTTGGTCTTTGAGTTTTATTCCTTTAAATTCCATACAGCTTTCTTCTGGCTTTTGTTCAACATGTCCAAGTCATCTTCCTTGTCTGTCTTATATTACTTTTACTATATCAATCTTGCATCCTGTTCTTATTATTTCTTTGTTAGTAATTCTCTCATGCCATCTGATATAGGAGATTATCCTTAAACAATACATTTAACCCATTGGATCCAGATGCTACACTGCCATTAGGCTTACTTGATTGGCCACTCTGACAGGTGCATGGCTTGTAGGCCATGCACACACAGACACTTGTGTGCTGTGACAAAACTCTATGCTTCCCCTTTGCAATATTATTTTCTTTTCTTTCTGCAAAGTGTTTTTACCTTTTTTCTCATTTTGCAGTGTCAATATTTGTCATTTAATTTGCTTTATCCAAATGGTAATAGACTGTTTTCCTTGCATACACTCCATATTGTCTCTCTTGGTAGTCCATAACTTAGTGCAAGAATAATAACAGTAAGCAACTTTTTTTTGAATTGTCTATTTTACTGTTGTTTTTGTATCACTGTCCTGTGATAAATCAGCTCCCAAGTATAGAACCCTATTTACTTGTTCTACAACATTTGTTCTGTGATCCACCTTTACCTTGTTCTTCTGGCTTTCCCTAGTATATTTTCTACTTTGTCCCTAAGGATATGCCATCCTCCTTTTCAATAAAATTCAGTATATATACATATGTATATACATATACATATTTATGTGTGTTAGTGAGAAAGAGAGTGGGGGGGCACACTTTGAACCCTTTAGTTAAACTTTTATTTTATGCAGTTTTTGAACCCTTTAGTTAAACTTATATTATATGCAGTTTTCTTTACAAGAAAAAGTCAGGCTTCACGAGAGAGAGAGAGAAAAAATATCTCCATTTTCTTTTTCAGGTACAAGTGCTTGAAGTCTTGGAATCATTGATGCACATCTTACCTGCAGCAGTTGACTTAGTCAAGTATCACAATTTGCTAACAGTATTACCACTTGTGGTCCTACCAACTACATCTCAGGATGCACAAATTTCAGAGCTCCTTAAGGAAGTGTTGAACGTATTGAGTGCCATTTGGACTACTATCACAAAAAGTGTTACAGATGGTAAAAGAAAGAGAAAGAGAGAAGATGAGACAGACTTGCCTTCTAGTAAGATTGCCAAAAAGGAATACACTAATGAGGATTCAGGTGTAGATGATCTGGAACCAGACAGAGAAGACACAAATTTGGACGATTTTGAGGAGCAACCTATCTCAAAGAGGATAGTTCCGCCACTCTTTGTACGAGAATTCCTGAACTGCTTGTCACTTCTCACACCTGTTGCTGTTACTTGTGACTCACCAGAAACTATTGCCCAGCACCTAGAACTTCTTACAGAAAATGTTAAATATGTTGAAACAGTTGCAGAACTTTCTGCAAAGAACCTCATACGAACAGCAGCTTTAGCCCCAGAAATCATCAAAGGACAGGTATGTAGGACAAAAAAGTTATTTATGTATGGCTGTATCTGTGTATACTAGTACTGCATAGGTATGCTTTGCATACATACTTGTATGTATATTCATATGAATGCATGTTTGTGTGTATTTGTGTAAGAGTAGAAGTATGATATTAAATGTTTGTGTGTATTTTAAATGGGTTGAAGTATGATATCAAAGGGAAGTTCATTTTCGAAAGTGACACAGTTATTAGGGATGCTTGGAACGGTTCGAGAAAATATAATAAAAGAAAAATACATTTGAAACACACATAAACATGCCTGCAGAACTTCAAAATTATGTGTAACTCCCATCCCTCTTTGTTTAATGTCTTATTAATGCAGTGCAGAGATGTTAAACTATGTTCTTATGTCATCTTAGCCTTACAGTTGTTTTGAAATGAGTGCCCTTCATGTTCATAAATGAATAAAAAATGCCAAGAAGTATAATTTGAGCACTTTAGTGGAAGATTCCTAATTTCCCATCAGAGTTTTAAGTAATACAGTTCTCATAAAATGAAACAGTAGCTGGTGCATTGTCATTTCTTATTTCCGAAATGACAAGAAACAAAAGAAAGCCCAATAGATAGGAATCATGAGAGAGGAGCAGGAAAGTGCAAGGTGACAAATGCCTGCTTAAACATCCAGCCCTGAGCTCTTTCAGCTTTGCATTTGTTTGGTCCCTTGACAACCCATGGAAGCCACTGATTCGATTGCTGTTTGCTTTCAGGACCAAATTGATAAATGTATATGTAATTGCTGGTCCCTCACTTGTGAGCAGCTGAAATCAGGGTACAACAGCTTTGGCAACAACTGTACAGAAACTATGCTTTGTATCAATGTATTTTTTAATATTCTGAAATGTTCAGTATCTGTAGTATTTCCACTGTAATTTGACAGCCATCTTCTGCTATTGTCTGAATTTTCTCAAACATTTTCATTCCTGAGTTTCAATGATGGCCTTCATTCACAAACATCATCTTCAACTACTGCCCACCCAGACAGGAAACAAGCAACCTGTTTGTAAACAGCAGTCATAGCAACTATGTCCTCATAAGCATCATAAGCAACAGTGATAATCCCTTTTCACAAGAAATATTTTGCTTGTTCTCACAATGTTTCTGTAAATTCAAGTGTTTCCAAGCTAAAGTAGCCTGTGAAAAATGCAGGGAAATGAACTGAATTTTGACATAAAATTTTGTATTCATATAAACTTTAGTTGGACTGAATGTAAAGCATTTTTATTTTATGATTTTCTGTGGTATTTTTAATGCTCTTGTTATGCTATATCTTTAACCAATCCCAATGCCACATTTATGCATAAAATGGTTATTCCTTTCTACAAGTTTTGTCATAAGTAGCATAGAGAGTAATTTTACTGTTATACTTGCTAAAATACTAAGGGAAACAGGAAAAAAGACAAATTTAACCCATTAGTGTCACATAGATATACTGTCCACTGTGGCCTTGCTATGTGAATTTTGTTTAAACTAGATGGCTTCACAGTTGGTTAGTAATCATGGAGATACTTATTATGCTTACCTGACCTGACCTGTTTACACCTTTCCTTTAACTTTTGGGAAAAAGTATGTTCTTTTAATACTGTTACCATCATTATTAATGGTTTCATTATTTGTAGGATGATGATTATTGTTGTTATACCATTATGAACAATACTAATGGTAATAAAATGAAACTTTTCTCTTATTAAGGAGTAGGGTAAACAGGGGAGATCAGGTAGGTCTGATAATTGACTCCTCGATGACTAACCACTTGAACCATCAAGGTGAAAACAAATGAACCCAAGCTGTTGAGGCCATGAAGAAAACAATTGAGACATCCATAAAACTAGGTAAATTTACCTATTGATCATAGGTAATTAGCCTAGAGGATAAAAAAAGCCAGGCACTGAAATGCGTCATTGGTTGACCTCTGTTTGTGGGTGTGTCATGGCAATATGTTATTAACCTTTACCATAGATAGATATGTGTCACTTAGAAAGCTAGTGATTAGTTCGAATATTTGAAAGGATGCTCTGGCCTTTAATTAGGCAAGTATGCATTATACCATTTTGTGCATTATGTTTCTGTAAAATAGAGAGATGCTGCAATATATTTTGTTACATGAATAATGCTTATATACACAATAATGACAGTTAATATGGTATCACATCATAATCATAGATAGGAGGTGACTTCTAATTACATCATGAGTATATGTCCTAGTGGCAAGGATGATATCACATTATCAGTCATGAATGCCAGTCCTCACCCATCTGCAGTGAAAGTTGGGCTATGTAGAGCTTTGTTAAAAGGATCTAAAAAAAAAGGAATGTTCAAAAAGTCTTTTGTCTTTCAGGTTTATGAGAATATCAATTGGGACACAATACTTGGCCATTTGCAAGGAAGAATAACAGATGAAGAGGAGGTGAAGTTGCTTGGTGCCAAGGCTGAGGATATGAAGAATAGGTGGGCAACTGAGCCACTTTCCAAATGCCTGAAAAAGCCCACTTCAACTGAAGAAGATAACGAGCCAAGTAATGAAGATGGGTTAATGCGTCTAAGAAGTTCTGTAAACCAGTTACTTTGTACGCTGGGGAAATAAAGTGACATAAAGAGTTTATTATACTGTTTTCTGTACAGTAATGTTTTTAAGTGAATTATCTATTTTCATGGAGCATTTTGGAGCATTTGTAACTGGTTAGTGCAGATATTAATGACTGATTCTTAGTTGTTCTTTCTCTCTCTTTCTCTTCCCTCCTCTCATTTGTCTCTGTTCTCTTCATTTTTGCTTGGGAATAGCAAAATGAGCAAAAGATATGTAATGTTGGTTTTCTATAAAATAGAAAATGAAATTTAGATTTTTTTTCATTTCATACCAAAATCAACAATTACCATGATGGCAACCCAAATAGATAAATAAATAAATAAGGCTTACTTCTGTAAGGTGATAGTGAATATTTGTTCATTCAGTTTAAAAATATAATATTATTTGATATATGGATTGTCAAGTATGTTGAATGTTAAAATTATGTACAGCATTGAATGAGATGCAATCCAGAAAATATCACAGATATATTATAACATTATTGCCTAAACATCTGGAGCGCTTACTCAGAGTTTATAGACTTCTTATTCTGTATACGATATTAAAATTGTAAAGACTGTTTTATCGTTGCCTAAAAGTTATAAAAATGTATTATTATTGTTTGGCCTTAAAATAATATGAGTAAATATTACATTGCTGGATCACATTTTTTATATGAACAGGATATGTATGCAGAAATAGTGTCAGTTCAGGAGAAATGCATTTCATATTACATGGGTTATTTATAAAAATGCAATATTCACAATGAATTTATTTTCAGGTAATTCCACATAAATACATGAAAAATGTAAAGTGATTTTTAAAACATTTACATTCTTTGAGAATGTAAGTTCCTCAGCAATCTGTAATATCAAGTATGTGATAAGCATAATTTTCTATAAATTGTGTATGTCAGAACTGAGAAGTAAATATTCTTATTACAACTATAATCCAACATTTTTATTTTGATGATGGGACACTGATATGTACTGTATTATTATAACATATGGATTTTTTCTTCTTCCAAGTCTTCTTCTTTGTAAGACAAGTTTGCCACCAATAATCCAAGGCATCTTAGCTGTCAAAACTAAAGTCTCCAAAAGGTTCAAAACCCTGAACATCCATTGTATCACCCTCATTGTTTTGTCCCTCCTCAAGTGATGATTCTGAGGAAGAGCCATCATCCCTACCAGTATCAGTTACATCAGATGTTTCATCTGATTTTGGAGAATCTTGCTTTCCTTCTGTAAGAAGGCCATGAGGTGTTTCCTCTGGTGCAGGATCATCAATATTCACAAAGTTGGCTCCTTGGTCATCAACTGATAGCATTTGAAATTCATCTACTTTAGAAATTGTGTCAGTCGCATTTTCTGTGGACTTCTCTGGAAGTGATGTATCCAAGCTGTCCAAGAATTCTTTGTCAGGGAAGCTTACACTTGTTATTCCCAGTGGATCCGTGTCTGAGGTCTCTTTTATGTCATCTTTATCTGGTTCTCCGTCATTTTCAATGGTTTGTGCTTCCTTTTCTTCTGCTATGTCTTCAAGATCTGTCCTGGATGTTCCTGGCTCTGCATCCATGTTCTGAACAGATGATTCAAGAACAGCAGCAAGGTCTCCTGCTGCCTCAAGAATTCTCTCTCGGGCTTGGAGTGTTTCCTCATTTGCCTGTGTGGTAGACTGATTTAGGTATAACCAGACATTTTCATGACAACATATTCATGCATTGTGCAATAAACTGCTGCATATGTAAAAAAAAATTATCCAACATGGTAAATATTGCTATTTTTTTATAGTAAAACTCTACCTGTCGTTCCTCAGGAGACATTTGTTCATATGCATTATAAACTGGATTTTCTCTCTCTCCATCTAGTTGCTCACCAAGTGCACTTTCATTAATCACTGATGTAGCATTAGCTTCCGCTAGGGACTGGAAGAAAGTTATGTTACTAATATGCCAAATTTGTTTATATTCATATCCATTACCACTTTCTTAATTTTTCCTAATTTATTTACATAGATGAATTAGCTTGTATTTTAAACAAACCCAACTGGAAATAGTGTAAATAAAGACATAAAAACAGAAGACAGAGAAACTTACTGCCATAGACTGATTGAAAATAGGATTCTGGAATCGTAGACCTCCGTCTCTCGTATATGTAAAAATACTGGAAGAGGTTGAAGCACGTCTGTCACCCATATGACTCACAACTGACACTCTTCGGCTGCTACTCTCCAGGCGACGGAACATAAATGATAGCTGCGAGGCTGCCCTGTAGTGTATATTTGGTTAAAATATCATATTTTTAAATTGGGTGACGCTGTTAAAGTCTGAAGATAGCATGAATGAAATTAGGCATGAGATGTGCATTTTTTATTTGATTTTATTTTTATTTTATTTAGATCCATAGTAATGAATGTTATTAGAAAAGAAAATTGTTTATTAGCACTATCTGAATTTTTTCGTTATAATAATTCATGCATTTTTTGTTCTTTACCTATACCAGCCACATTCAAAATTAACTTTTTCTTTGATTTCAGCCAAACGTACTATTATACTAGTATCTATCTCTTCTATTCCTTGCAAGAAGGTGTGAGAAATAATTTTTTTCAAGTAGGTATACATGATATATTTAACATTGATTTATCACCTGCGTTGCTTGAAGTAATACACAGCAGCAGCCACTGCAAATATAATGGTGAGAGTGATGAAGACAGATAGTAAGTTGCTTGATGTAGAATCAGCTGTTTGTGGAATTATGCTGCCTGAGAATGATACTATGGCTGCATGCGTTCCTCCTGAATTGAGCTCTGTATGAAGAGATTTAGAGAAAATGTACATTTTAGAAATTAGTCAATTTGAAACAGCACATGCTTGTGTATATGTCAGTGGATGAGTAAGTATAAGGTCATATACATAGATAAAAATATAAGACTACTTCAGTTACCTTTCTCAAATTTAGCTTTGAAACTTTTTGAAGCTGCTTTGTAATTGCCTATTTCAGAAGATGATGTAAAGTAAACATGATACATTCCATCACTCATTTTAGCTGCATATCCTTGCACATTCTCTGCTACTAATGTTTTCATGTGTTTCTGCAGTAATGTCAAAATACTTTGAAGAGGCAGTGAGCCATTATGGCTGATGATTACCTCTGCACCTGTAAGAAGATTAAGCCTTTTTAGACAAGCAGTTACTTTCTCAAGCTGGAATATGAAATGTTCTACAAGACCAAACATAGATTCAACAAATAGCTGATTTTAAATTGAAGTGAAATGAAATCAATTAAATTTCACATGATTGAAAAATGCATTATCAACAAAAATATTACAATATTACAAGTCAAAAAAAATACCACAAACAGGGCAGCAGAATCCCTCCATATTTTGAGCTGAATCACAAGGTGCTGGAGGACACTTGGATGATTTGATTCCACATATTTTCGCTTCAGCATCTTGGTTTGTACACAAACAACCAGTCACATCAGTACATGGTTGAGGATCTTCTACATAAAGTTGAGCTCCATCTGTGCTTGAAGAAGCACCAATAAACCTAAAGGAGCCCTCTGCAGTTTGGGCATATGTAGCTAGCTGGGATGTAGTGTAGTTCTTCATGTAATTAAGAGAGAATGATATTGTTATGCAATGGTAAGTTTTCATTTCCTGCTTCAGACAAATATAAACAAATATTAAACTTCCTGAAACTCAGATTCTAACAGTACTGGGTTATCTTTAAAAAAAATATATATATATAAAGCAAAATCTTGCCTGTTTTTGTTATATATGTTATGAACAAAATACTAAGAATAGAAGCTATTTGTAAGCCAACAGGTAAATGTTTAAAGATTTTTTTATCTAAAGAATCCCATAAGGGTATTATGAACTTTTGCATTTTGTTTCTTAGTAACAAAGGTATGAATGAAAATAATAATTTCATAAGAAAATATCTAATCAATAATTAGACTATTCATATACTTTAATAACTTCAACAAAATTTGCAGTGAGCCTCGTCCTTTATATTTCTTTTCAGATTAATGTGCGTGTTGTGTTTGTGTGTGTGTGTATTGTGTGTTGTGTGTGTGTGTGTGTGTGTGTGTGTGTGTGTGTGTGTGTGTGTGTGTGTGTGTGTGTGTGTGTGTGTGTATGTGTGTGGTGTGTGAGTGTGAGTGTGTGTGTGTGAGTGTGTGAGTTGACATACGTGTTGAGTACATATAATACATATAAATATATTATATAATAGTATATTATATTATATATATATACTTATAATATATTATATATATAATATATATATATACATATATATACATATATACTATACATAAATATATATACTATATATATTATAATATATATATATATATATTTATATATATATAATATATATATATATATGTATATAATATTATTCATATATAAACATATATTATATACGTATATAATATATACACTGTATGTGTATATGTGTGTGTATATACCTACTATATATTATTATACTATATATATCTATATAAATATATATAATAATATTATATACATATAATATACATATATATATATATATATATATATATAATATATTTATATATATATATATATACTATAATATATACTATTATATATATATATGAAACTATAATTAATATATATATTATATATATATATATACTAATATACTACATATATATATACTATATTATATATAATTATTGTATATATACTAATAATATATACTATATATATATACACACATATATTAAACTATATATATATATTATATATATATATGATATTAGTATATGGTGTGTGTGTGTGTGTGTTGTTTATCTTCATACATATTGTGTGTATGCGTGCTTATGCGCGTGCTTGTTTTATTTATTAATTTTATTTCATTGTACCATTATTATATTCATTTTATCTATTACAATCTGTGTGTGTTCACTTATTTAATCGTCTATAAATATAAGATATGAAACCATTGCCTCTCTTGTTTGTGTTTAGAATAATACTGAACCACCTTCCCCCAATTAGCCTTACCTTATCACCAATAGTGAGCTTAGCGACCCTTATAGTAGGGGCAGTTAGGTGGACGCTGTACAAGGACTGGTTTGGATCCACGAATACAGCCGTGTCCCTCGTACAAGGCACTCGGTGGACGTGAGGGACTGGAGAGGACGTGGGGTCACCATAACCAGGATACCACCAACCATCAGGGTCCCACCATTCGTCGTTGCCAGTGTGGGTCCCACTTTGGCATCTGTATTAAACAGCCATATTGTATCATTATCAGATTATACCTTTGTATGGTAGGTGTACAGTATTACTTATGGTGTGCCCTGCTGAAATGTTCACATCGGTGGCGATGTGAGCGTTTGTGTGCTCACGCTAGTTACGTAGTATATATATATATATTATAATTATAGTATATATTATATATAGTATATATATATATATATATACTAGTATATTAGTATGTGTGTGTGGTGTGTGG